GTGTGAATTGTGTAAACTGTACAAATTGACAGAACTGCGTTAACTGTACAAACTGTCATGGTTGCCAAAATTGCAAAGATTGCACGGATTGTACAAATTGTAACGATTGCAGAGATTGCCAAAGATGTGCCAATAGTACAGATTGTTTAAGCTGCGGCGATGGCGCAGATTGCAAAAATTGTAGAAACTGTTCTAACTGTGCGAATTGTCGAGACTGTATCGATTGTTCAAATTGTGCCAATTGTAATCGAATTACAGATAGTAAAGGATGTGCCGATCGTACAGATTGTACTCAATGTCAATGTTGACCTCCGATATCGAGTTGTTGGACCCCGAAGAGATACGAAATTTTAAAGCAACAGAAAGTTCCTGGTGCGAATGACAACTCTTCTTCTTATTTGCCAGATATGGAATTGCCTGTCCAACAAATGTTTAAGGCGACGAAGTTTAAAGGCTTGACGTATTGACCAATGATATGTTCACCAATGTCTCCTAGTGTTTTGACCCTCTCGGTAGATTATTCAATACTGACTCAATATTTCCCACTTACCGTGGGCAATCAGCCATTCTTTTCAACAAACCAGTTTTTTAAATTAACATTGACTGTTATTGTTCAACTATTATATTTTCACCTTCCTAAAAATGATATTAATTTTAATTATAACCAAATATATTGTCACTCAATATATTTTTATCCCGCCAATATTACACGAAAAAATTGAACGATATTGCAACCGACTGTGATTTTTGTTGTGTTATTACATTTTGTTCAATATCATCTCATTCTTGTCAAAATTTATCGGGCAACCAGGCTGATATCAGATGATTTCCATAGATCTTGAAATTATTGCTGATATTAATAAAGAAAAAATTACGTAAAGTATCGAGAGCTGGGCCATTGTCAATAATTAAATAACCAACTTGTAGCTTGATTTCAGCTATATCATTTTATAAAAATCCATCGAATTGCCTGTTTTCATTATTTAATTAATAAGCTTCAAAGTTTGTGGTTCTACTTTTGTCCCACCCTTTAAGACCGACACTGAATTTATCCACTAGCTAACAGAGCAATTTATTTTCATATGCCACTCATCAAAAACTAGTCAATTTTTCGATAAATCATGCTTTTCGCAGATGAAACAAAATTTCATTGTTATTCAAACAACAATTTTATCGAGCAATTGTTTTCTATCAATCAATCTTCATCTATCTTATTTACCTGAAAAAAATATTCTAGCAAGTGAAGTAAACGAAAGTATGTTAATTTGCTTTTCTCTGATCATAACATGTTTGTTCAATATTTGATGGAGTTAAAGGGTATAAAAGCCATTCCATAACAGCAACACTTTACAAGTTTAATTTCAAGTTCAAGATAAATACATTTCTAATTATTTTATTGTATTTCTAGATGTATTTCTAATTACATTACATTTCCATTTCCTCTAAAATGTATCTCAAAACCCATATTTTTATTCTGATATCGGTTTTTATGGTTAGCCTAAGCATACCTTCTACTGGTTCTGCTGATTCTAATGGTAATGTAAACTGTGTAAATTGTACTGGTTGTACCAACTGTGTGAACTGCATCAATTGTACAAATTGTCATGGCTGTGAAAGTTGCTCCGACTCTACGCGTTGTCGCAATTCTAGAAACTGTGCAAGTTGTACGGATTGTTCAGATTGCAAGAACTGTGCCAGTTGTACAGCTTCTAAAAATTGTAACGATTCTAGAAGCTGCACAAACTGCACGAATTGCTCAAACTGTACTAATTGTATCAACAGCAGAAATTGTTCAGATTGTACGAACTGTACAAAATGTACAGATTGTCAAAGATGTACTAATTGTACAAATGTTAAAAATTCTGCAAATTGCACAAACCGCACAGGCTGTACAAATTGTAAATGTTGAATTCTGCTATCGATAAAAATTGTTGGACCTTAACAAAACTTGTGTTTGAAGAGCAGCGGAAAGTTCCTGTCGTAACGTGGGGGTAACGATTCTTCTTATGTCCCAGATATGGAATTCATGGTTCAACAAATGTCCAAGGAGAGGAAGTTAAAAAGCTTGATGCATTGGCCAATGATATGTTCATCAATGTCTCCTAGTCCTTTGACCCTCTCGGTGGATATTGGATGATCCAAATTTCCCATATACTGTAAGGTAATCAACCATTTTTCCGACTAACTGTTTTCTAGATTATTTCATAACCAAATCATCATTTGCTACTTTTAAAAATGATATTTTCTGTCGTTATAATCTGAGACCATGTATTTTCGCTCAATATATTCTTATCTGACTAATATCAGAACGAACAAATAAAAAACGATTCCTATTAATTTTACCTCAGTAACTGGCTATCATGTTATGTTATTTTGTTCGATATCTTATTATGCCACTTCACTAGTTTCAAGTTAATTTTTAGTAAGCGCCGTCAACTACATTACCATATACCGTATAGTAGATGGCGTTTATCAAACAAAAGATATCCGTAAAACTAGTGTATCGTCTCATTTAAATTAAATTCAAATATTATAAATTAAAAAGCTCAGCTTGGAAAGGAGACTTGGTTTGTCTTGTTTTTCTTAAAATTTACATGATTTTTTTGATTCCATCGATGATCCAATGATAGCGATGGAATCATACATTTACCGGAATGATACCTCTCGAGGATACTGTGGTACTTCATTAACAGTTGTCGACAAAATAATCCATTTTGTACAGAGTTTATATCTGTTTACGAAAATCAAAGCGATTAGAGAAATGACAACTTTTCTTGTTATCTCACAGTTTTCTTGTTGCCTGTTCAACAAATGTCCAAGGAGATAAAGTTAAAAAGCTTTATGTGTTCGTCAATGAAACCTAGTATTTTGATTATCTCGATGGTGTTGTCTCTCTTGATGTTTGGTGTCTATTGTGCCCACTTTTGCCATTTACCGTAAGGTAATCAATCCTCCCTTTCAACAAACCAGCTTCTTATATTAATATTTTGTTCAATATCCTCAGTAACAATATCATTTCATTATTGAGAACATTTATTGGACCAACAGTTCAACATCGGAAGATTTTCAAAGATCTTATATTTATTGCTGATGTCAATGAGTGGATCCATCCACAGATAACAGAGCATCATTGCAATATCATTTATTACCTTGAAAATCTATTTCAATCCTGATGATTCAATAAGAAAAGTCAAGTTTGTTTAAACAACAAAAGACACTTTCAAAGGATTAAGACTTGAAAAACAGCGTAATTTTTCTGCAGTAAACATGTAGGAAGTAAATTTAAACATGAATTATTATAATTGCTACGCTTCATTTTTCTAGCTAGTTTCACATCCGAGATAAACGCATTCCATCAAAAATGCATTCGAATACCGATTTAAACGATTTAAACCTTCATAATATAGTGAATTTAATCCGTAATTGAAGCTGGAAAATCTTATGAGATATGCCACTCATCAAAAACAGTCAATTTTTCGATATATCATGCTTTTCGCAGATGAAAAAAAATTTCATTGTCATTCAAACAACAACTTGATTATCAACTAGCCAACCGATGTTCATCTATTTACCTGCAAAAATCATCTAGCAAGTGAAGTAAACATCACTATGTTAATTTGCTTTTCTCTGATCATAACATGTTTAGTTCGATGTTAATTCTTGAATCAAGATTATGAAAAAAAGCTGACAAGGCTAACGAAATGATTATGAAGTAGTAAACAGAATGACAGGGAGAAGAGTGATGATATTTGATGGAGCTAAAGGGTATAAAAGCAATTCAATAACAGCAACACTTAACAAGTTGAATTTCAAGTTTGTTTGATAAATATTTCTAATTACATTAAATTTCGATTTTCCACTAAAATGCATCTCAAAACCCATATTTTGATTCTGGTGTCGGTCTTTATGGTCAGCCTAATCACACCTTCTACTGGTTCTGCTGATTCTAATGGAAATGTAAACTGTGTAAATTGTACAGGTTGTACAAACTGTGTGAACTGCATCAATTGTACAAATTGTCATGGATGTGAAAGTTGCTCCGACTCTACGCGTTGTCGCAATTCTAGAAACTGTGCAAGTTGTACGGATTGTTCAGATTGTAAAAATTGTACCAGTTGTACAGACTCTAAAAATTGTAACGATTCTAGAAGCTGCACAAACTGCAAAAATTGTTCAAACTGTGCGAGTTGTACAAACTGTGCAGATTGTCAAAGATGTACTAATTGTACAAATGTCAAAAATTCTGCAGATTGTATGGATCGGACAGGTTGTACAAATTGTAAATGCTAAATTTGGATATCGATAAAAATTGTTGGACCTTCAAAAGGCGCGTGTTTAAAGAGCAACGGAAAGTTCCTGTCGTTACGTCTTATGTTCCAGATATGGAATTCTTGGTTCAACAAATGTCCAAAGAGTGGAAGTTAAAAAGCTTGACGCATTGGCCAATGAAATGTTCATCAATGTCTCCTGTTCCTTCGATCTTCTCAGTGGATACTAGATGATCCATATTTACCATTTACTGTAAGGTAATCAACCATTTTTACAACCAACCAGTTTTCTAGATTATTTCAAAATCAAATCATCATTTGCTACTTTTAAAAAATGATAAGCAAAAACCTTGTATTTTCACTCAATATATTCTTATCTGAATAATATCAGAAAGAAAAAATAAAATAATTCTTATTTTACCTTAGTAACTGGCTATCGTTTTATGCTATGACATTTTGTTCAATATCCTCAATATATACCAATATCATCTCATTTGCACAATCTATTGGAGAAATCATCTGAAAAAGAAATGAACGTAAAAATGTTATTCTGCCTTTCTCTGATTAATTTGATTGTTCGATATTGATTGAGGAATATGATAGTAAATCTGATCAAGATTATATGAAATTCCCAGAAAAAATCTATCGAAATAAGTGCGACTTAACAGAATGAGAGGGAGAAGAGTGACAATATTTGATGGAGCTAAAGGGTATAAAAGCCATTCCATAACAGCAATACTTTACAAGTTTAATTTCAAATCTGTTTGATAAATATTTCTAATTACATTACATTTCCATTCCCCCTAAAATGTATCTTAAAACCCATTTCTTTCTTCTAGCATCGGTCTTTATGGTCAGCCTAGTAACACCTTCTACTGGATCTGGTGGCTCTCATGGTTCTCCTGATTCTGATGGTAATATAAACTGTGTAAATTGTAAGGGTTGTACAAACTGCACCAACTGTATCAATTGTATAAATTGTCATGGCTGTGAAGATTGCTCCGACTGTACGCGTTGTGTAAACTGTTCTGGTAACAGTTCAATTCTTACGGATTGTTCAAATTGTGTGAACTGTTCCAGTTGTACAAATTGTTCAGATTGTAAAAACTCTTCCAGTTGTACAGACTCTAAAAATTGCAACGATTCTAGCAGCCTCACAAACTGCACAAATTGTTCAAACTGTACAAGTTGTACAAAATGTACAGATTGTCAAAACTGTGATAGTTGTACAAATGTCCAAAATTCTGCTAATTGTAAGAGTCGTACAGGCTGTTCACATTGTCAATGTTGAATTCCGGTATCGATGCATATTGCTGTAACCTAAAAAGGTTTGTAATTTAAAAGCAGTTCCTGGTGTGACCAGAAAAATGAAAACTTTCTTATCTGCTTTCTTCTCATCTTTCAGATATGGAATTGACGATTAAACAAATGTCCAAGGAGAGCAAGTTGAAAAGATTGACGCATTGTCCAATGATATTTTCATTAATGTCTTTTAGTCCTTTGGCCCTCTCGATTGATATTGGATGCATCATATTTCTATTTGCCGTTTGGTAATCAACCATCCCTTTCGAAAAACAGTTTTTTGGGATTTTTCTTTGATTTTTTGAACCGTATCTTGATTTTGCTCTTTCTACAAATGATTTTAATGCTAATTGTAATCAAAACCCTTAAATATATTCTTATCTCGCCAATGATAGAGCGAAATAATAAAAATCGATTCATCAGTAACTGGCTGTCATTTTATGTTTCGTTATTTTGTTCAATATCCTTAATATATACCAATATCATCTCATTTCGGACAAAATTAGGTCTTTCATTCTTTCATCTTTCTTTCTTTCAGGTAGGAAGTGTGATGAATTACCTTTCAGTCCTTCAAGTCCAGACAATGAGCGGAAAAGCCATTGAAATCGGTGAATTTAATAGTCAAAACAACTAGAAGGCAAACTCTCAATGAAATCTTAACCATTTGAGCCTTAATTCAATTCAACTAATATAACTAATTTGCTTCTTGGAGTAATCACTTAAGTTGCTCCGAAATCATTGCAAATCTAATTGAACAACAAGATAAATTGTCACTAGTCACCAAAGGAGTCAAAGGTGGATCTTGCAAAGTTATTTATATTGTAAGCCAGGCCAATATCGAGAGATAATCATAGATCTTAAATTGATTGCTGATGTTAGTTAGCTAAACACTGGATTTTATCTTTTAATAATTGCTAACAAAGCTTTTCTCATGTTTCTAATGTCGAAAATTGTCAGCTCCATTGTTCTAGATATTATTTAGTTTCCGAGATAAACAGATTGGAATTGAAAATGAGTCTAGAAAAACGATTGTATTGTATAAGGTCATGTGTACTGATTTGAGTGATTGACACCATTGTGATAAAGTGAATTTAAGGTGACATTGAAGCTGGAAATCTGGTGAAATGATCTATTTCTATCTGCCACTCCTCAAACTAACCAATTTTTTGAAGCAACACTTTACGAGGTTAATTTCAGTTCAATTTGTTTGATAAATACCTCTCATCCCATTACATTTCCATTCCCTCTAAAATGTATCTTAAAACCCATTAGTATTTATAAACCGAATAAGAGGGAGAAGAGTGGCGAGATTATTAGGTGATGAAGAGTATAAAAGATATTCAATAACAGCAACACTTTACGAGTTTAATTTAAAATTTGTTTGATAAATATTTCTCATTACATTAAACTTCAATTTTCCTCTAAAATGTATCTCAAAACCCATATTTTGATTCTGGTATCGATCTTTATGGTCAGCCTAATCACACCTTCTACTGGCTCTGGTGGCTCTGATGGTTCTCCTGATTCTGATGGTAATATAAACTGTGTAAATTGTGTGGGTTGTACAAACTGTGCGAACTGTGTCAACTGTACAAACTGTCATGGTTGTAAAAATTGTAACGATTGTACAAATTGTACAAATTGCAAGAATTGTGACAATTGCAGAGATTGTCAAAGATGTACGAATTGTCCAAATTGTTTAAGCTGTGAAGATTGCTCAGATTGTAAAAATTTGAGAAACTGTTCTAACTGTGCGAATTGTCGAGAATGTATCAATTGTTCAGGATGTAAAAATTGTGAAAATTGTACAGATTGTAAAAGATGTTCCAACTGTTCAGATTGTCTAAGATGTACAGATTGTAAAAATTGTACAAGTTGTGAAGATTCTGCAAATTGTAACAATCGTACAGATTGTAAAAATTGTCAATGTTGAATTCCGGTATCGATACATATTGTTGGAACCAAAAAAGGTTTGTATTTAAAAGCAGTTCCTGGTGCGACCATAGAAATGTCAGATCTTCGCATGTGCTTTTTATCATCTTCCAGATATGGAATTGCCAATTCAACAAATGTCCAAGCAAAGCAAGTTTAAAAGCTTGACGTATTGATCCTTTGACACTCTCGATGGATATTGGATGATAAGGTCATCAACCATCCTTTCCGACCAGCCAGTTTTTTAGACTTTACATTGGTTATGCTATAACCAAATCTTCATTTTGCGCTTTTTAAAAATGATATTTAATTGTAATTGTAATCAAACGCATTGTATTGTCATTCTATACCGAATATATTGTTATCCTGACAAATATCAGAACGAAAAAATAAAGCGATTCCTATTAATTCTACCTTGGTCAATTTACTAATCATTTAATCATCTAATTATTTAGATTAGACATTATTTCTTTCCTAATGTTCTAATCTCTAAAATTGCTCAGCTCCATTTTTGTAAATATTATTTAGTATCAAAGATAAACGTATTGTATTGAGAATGAATTGATTTCAGATTGAAATGGATGGGGCCGTGTGTACTGATTTAAGTGATTTAAATCATCGTGTTGAAGTAAATAAGGTGACATTGAAGCTGGAAATCTAATGGAATAATCAATGTCTATCTTCCACTCCTCAAAACTGGCCAATTTTCGGATAAATCATGCTTTTTGCAGATGATACGAAATTTCATTGTTGATCAACCAAGGATTTGCTTAATCAATTTTTTCCTAAGAACCAATGGTCATCTATACTTGAATACTTAAAGTACTTAAAATAGTGTAGAGAGGAAAGTAAAAGTAAGTTGTTGATTCTGAAAATAACTTGTTTGGTTGATATAATTCATGAATCCGAATCTAAACAAGATTATAAAAAATTAGCAGAACAATCATATAAATAAGTAAAGTAAACATGTAAAGTAATAAACAGAATGAGAGGGAGAAGAATGGCGATATTTGATGGTGATAAAGGGTATAAAAGCTATTCCCTAACAGCAACACTTTACAAGTTTAATTTCAAATTGTTTTCTACACAATTCTTATTAATATATCAGACTTCCATTTTTCTCTAAAATGTTTGCTAAAACCTATTTTTTCATTCTGGTATCGGTCTTTATGGTCAGCCTAATCACACTTTCTGCTGGTTCTACTGATTCTGATGGCAATACAAACTGTGTGAATTGTACAGGTTGTACAAACTGCTCCAACTGTATCAATTGTACAAATTGTCATGGTTGTGAAAGTTGCTCCGACTCTACCAATTGTCACAATTCTATAAATTGTGCAAACTGTACAGATTGTAAAGACTGTAAAAATTGTAACGATTGTACAGCTTCTGGAAATTGTGAAGGTTCTAGAAACTGTACAACTTGCACTTATTGCTCAAATTGTGCCGATTGTACAAGTAGTAGAAACTGTTCAGATTGTGCAAACTGTACAGCATGTAAAGATTGTCAAGGATGTAGTAATTGTACAACTTGTACAAACTCTTCGAATTGTAAGAATCGCACAGGTTGTACAAATTGTCAATGTTAATTCTGGTATCGATAAAAATTGTTGGCCCTAAGCAGGTTCGTGTTTGAAGAGAAGCGGAAAGTTCCTGGCGCGACGTGAGGAATGACAACTCTTTTTATGTGCTTTACTTTTCTTCTTCCAGATATGGAATCGCCGGTTCAACAAGTGTCCAAGAAGAGCAAGTTAAAAGGCTTGACGTATTGGCCAATGATATGTTCATCAATGAAATCATCTTACTCAACTTTTATCCTAGTCCTTTACTCGATACTCTCGATGAATATTGGATTATCCATATTTGCCATTTACCGTAAGGTAATCAAAAATCCTTACCAACCAGTTTTTTAGACTTTTGTTTGATTTCCTATGCAAATTTTCATTTGTTACGTTTTAAATAAAACCTGTATGGAGAAAGAAATGTTATTTATGTTATTTATAATCAAAAACCTTATATTTGTCAGTCAATATATTCTTATGCCGCCAATATCGAACAAAAAAATAAAACGATTCTTATTAATTTTACCTTTGAAATGTTTTATGGAGCTCCAATTCATTGTTTGTTTATTCAAGACACGAACTGCAGTAGTTCCAAGAACAGTTTGAGCTGCAACAAGAAAGTCCAAGTCTATGAGTACTCCTCGCAAAGCTTGATTGATATGAATGGTTCAACTGATTGATTGGTATAAACTGATGATTCAACTGTACACTGGGTAGAGATATTACATGGCTAGTGATATTAACTTTTTTCCAATAATAGCACAATAACAATAACATTGTTTCAAACAATTTGTTTCATAGCTATAATTTAAAATTATTAATTTTACTCAATTTATTTCATCCAACGTAATTATCAATATATCGAAAATTTTATCGATATTACTATCGATTACTATCGATTACTGCTATTCCAAAAGCTAAACCCAAATTGCCAGATAGGCTTTGAAAACTTAACTCCTAATATTGGAACAATTTAGTTTCAATTCAGTTTATCCTTAACCAAGACCTCAAGTCTTACTTCAAGATATAATACCAATATTATCCTGTTCTCAACAAAATTTGACTTACTTGAAACATAAATTGAAAAAAAAAACTTAACCAAACTTATTGAAGTTCATTGAAGTAAATATTTGTTTGAGCTCCAATTTACTGTTTGTATCATTCATCTTCATTGCAAATTATCGTATTGCTATTTTGAATTTCAGATTCACTAACCCAACTCAGATTAAATTCAAAATACACAAGATTAGTTTCTAATCCTAACAAGATGTAAGATATTTCAAGGAATCACCTTTTGCGAATCATGCTACATAATTTTCGTTCATAGCTTATGAACGTGATATCTGTTTACAAAAATAAAAGACAATTAGCTTACTTCAGAACGCACTTTGTTACTAAGGAACAAGTCTAATGTCTATCTCTTCTAACCAGAAATCTAGACTCTACTTGCAAGTAATTGATCATTTGTATTTCATAAACCAATGGTCATCTGTTGACCTGAAAGAATCGTCAAGCAAAGGAATGTAAGGATATTAATTTGCGTTTCTCTAATCATAACATGTTTGTTTGATATTAATCCATGAATCCGATAGTAAATCTGATCAAGGTTGATAAAGTGAGTCAAAGTAATAAACAAGATGAGAGGGAGAAAATAAGTGTAGATATTTGATGGTAATAATCATTGATGAAGAGTATAAAAGCTGAATATCCATCTCTTAACAGCAAGACTTTACAAGTGTAATTTCAAGTTGTTTGCAGCTTAATTTTCATTACATTACATTGAAAATTTGCTTTCCAGTTTAAATCCATTTTTTGATCTTTATTCACTAGCTTGACCAAAATTGAGAATAATCATGACTTCTATTGATTCTTATGGTAATACAAATTGTAAAAATTGTGTCAATTGTACAGATTGTACAGACTGTCAAGATTGTAACGATTGTAAAAATTGTGCTAATTGTACAGGTTCTAGAAACTGTACAAATTGTGTAAATTGTTCAAATTGTGAGGATTGTGCGAACTGTACGGGTTCTAAAAATTGTGTAGACTGTGCAAATTGTATACAATGCACTAATTGTCAAAAATGCGCCAATCGTGTAAATTGTGCAAATCGTACAGGTTTAACCAATTGTCAATGTTGAATTCCGGTATCGATACAAAGGCGTGCTCGAAGAGCAGCGAGAAATTTCGCTGGGATCGGAGAAATGTCAACTTTTCTTATTATCTGACGGACCAACGGTACAACAAAAATCCAAGCAGAGGAAGTTGAAAAGCTCGCCCAATGATATGTTCATCAATATCTTACAGTCTTTTGATACTCTTGATGGCTATTGAGTGATTCAATTTTTTATATTTTACTTTGTGCATTTCTCAACCAAATCTTCATTTTAAACTTTCACTTTTTATATTCACTCAATATATTGTTATTCCGCCAACATAAAAAATAAAACGATTCCTATCAACCTCATAACTAATTGTTTTAGTAGTTTTAATTTTATTTATCGGGTTTTAAATTAATATTAATAAATAAGATTTTCCGTATCGTCTGTTGATACATGTAATGATCTTTGTACCTTTCACAACAAGCTATTTCCAAGGTATTTGCAGCGATCAACTTTGTTTCTTTAGAAAATGGAATTTCGGACAAAAATAACTGGGTTAGAGCAATAGCATGGTAGATTATTCGTTACTGCGAAAAGAGTACTTAAGGATAATTTTTATTCCTCCGAGAGGTCTACACTGAATGAACACAATCGGATGAAGATAACTCTGTGATTGATGAAAAGGCTGAGATCAAACGCGATCTTTTGATTCATAGATTAATTTAAGGCAAATTCATTAACACAGAAATTACTATTTTCACGGAAAATTAAAAATTCAAGTAAAAACACATTTTCACTTGTTTTTGTCACTGATAGCTTGTTCAAGTTGCATTTTTCTAATTTTCTCTGAACTTTACTTACTTTCAATATTCACAATGTATCCTGAAGAGGTTGCTATTTTCAATGTTATTGAGTACATTAGATTTGAACGTGGGATAAATAATGCTCAAGTGCTACACCATGGTGTAAATTAAATAGATGAGAAATTCGGTTTAGCTGCGCTGGATAAATCTTTCAGTTTTACGAAATCAGATATACTGGATGGTTCAAGAAACAAGAGTCAAAAAAGACGAGTACAAATTGATCCTGGATCAATTGAAAAACTTCTAGCAAAAAACTAAACATCCCGCATTCCGATATTGCATGCGGTACGCAGCAAATACGGTAAATTTTATTAATTTTCAATAGCACGTGTGAATCATTGAATAAAATTTTGATTTTTACCTGATGAACGTGATACATGTTTACAAAATGAAAGACTAATGGCTTATTTTAAGTCGATTGATCATGTGCTATCAACCAAAGTCACCTATTTACCTGATAATATTTTTTTGAAAAAAATTGTCCAAAAAGTACAGTAAACGTAAAAATGTTAACTTTCTTTTCTCTGATCATAACATGTTTACGCGATATTGATTCACAAATCCGATAGTAAATCTGATTGTAAATAATTCGCAGACAAGGCAGACGAAATTTCTATAAAGTTATAAACAGGATGAGAGGAAGAAGATATTCGATGGCGATGAAGTGTATAAAAGCTATTCCATAATATCAAACTTTATAAGTGCGATTTCAAGTTTGCTACATATTTCTCATTACATTACAGCTCGAAACTTTTTTGCAAAATGTATGTTAAAACCTATTTTTTGATTCTTGTATCGGTCTTTATGGTCAGCCTGATCACGCCTTCTACTGGCTCTGATGGAAATACCAACTGTGTAAATTGTGTGGGCTGTACAAATTGTGCGAACTGTATCAATTGTACAAATTGTCATGATTGTGCAAATTGTACAGATTCTACGAATTGTTCAAATTCTAGAAATTGTGAAAGTTCTATTGATTGTCAACGATGTGCCAATGGTATAAATTGTGTTGGATGTTCAGATTGTGCTGATTGTACAGGTTGTAGAAATTGTTCAAATTGTGCCAATTGTAGCCAATGTACAGGTTGTCAAAGATGTGCCAATTGCACAAATTGTACAAACTGTAAAGATTGTGCCAATCGAACAGGTTTGACTAATTGTCAATGTTGAATTCTGGTATCGATGCAAAGCAATAAGTTGGTGTTGTGAGAAATTACAACTTTTTTTATGTTCATACTAAAGAATCGTCAGTACAACAAATGTCCAATCCAAGGAAGTAAAGCGCTTGACGTATTGACCACGCATTGGTATGTTCATTAATAATCCTACGAACCTCATCCTATGAACCTCTCGATGGATCATCCGATATTAACTGTTTGTGTATCTATTGAGTCCATATTTGCCACTTAATCTAAGCATATCAACCATCCTTTCCGACGAACAGTATTTTGAATTTTTCACTTTTTAAAAATGATATTTAATGTTAATTATTATATAATAAAACACCTTGTATTGTGACTCAATATATTCTTATCCTGCCAGTATCAGAACGAAAAATAAACATTTCCTATCAATTTCACCTTATTACCGGTTGTTTTTATTTGTTTAAATCTTACATTGTTAGTCATCTGCTTTTGAACGCTGAGTCATACGCTAAGCAAACTGATTACCTGCCTTGTCTATTGATACTTATTTTTGTCATTTTTGACCTTCTCCATCTATATTATCTATTGTAGTTATAACAAGATATCATCAAGAGATTAATTTTCAAGATGATTTTCGGAAAATAAACGGTGAGTTAAGGTCAACATATTGATTATCAAAACAAGAATACAGTCGAGTACCTAAAATTGTCAGTCTAATGTTCAAGGAATTTGAAAAACTAATTCCAATAAAATTTTCATAAAGAATTCTTGATTAACTCTACTTTTTCAGTAGTTTCTCACTCAGAACGTCGTTTTTGGTCACATTTAACCAAGAAAATCAAAAATTAATCCATCCTAGTCCATTAGGGCTATCAAAAAATTCTGTGATCGACAGTTTTTGAGAAAATTGGAGTTAAAGTTGCAACCACGATAGCCTATTTTAAACTTATTTAACCAGATTTTTTCATCAAAATCATGTTAAAATGAGTTTCAGGCCTCTTTTACGATCACAGAGAGCGTTCGGTTCAACCGATAAGAAGTGATCTGTTGTACAAAAACAGAAAATTTGATTTGACGAAATAAGTGCATTTGCTGGCTGGTCTTCAAAATTTGCGCCAGAAAAATTTTGGTTGTTTTGTTCACATTTTGGTTTTTTAGTGAGACCCCTCAATTCTCAGATTCTCTCCATTTGAATTCGCTGCTGGAAATGGAGGCAACGGGATTGAATTTTATAATGTGGACTAGGAGCAAATCACCATCGCTAACTAAGATGACTGCAAATGGATTTTCCAAAGCCGCTTGTCCTGTTTTACACTTTGAATAAACTCATCCATTAAATTTTGGATTGATCTTTGGCTTTACCCGAAGCAGCTATTCCTTTCAAATCTTATTAGGCAAGCTATTATAGCAAATAATATGTGTTTATCCATTTATTTCTTGACCTATAATAATTAATCAAAATCAGAGATCGAATCACAAATCAAATTCTTTTGAAACCAAACTTCGTAAGAACTTATCAATTTTAGAAACGAATGCAAAACCGATTGTTTAGACCCATTCGTTGTTTTTTGATATCTTGTATCGATATTTTGTGATACGTGTATAAATGCATATAAAAAGAGGTTAATCAATGGTTTTTAATACTTTATTTTCATTTCCAACTTTTGACTCAGTTCAGTTCAACTCCAACCAACAAAATGCGATTCTTAATAATCTTGTCTCTCGCTTTATGCATTGGTAAGTTAATAACCCAAATTAACCTAATAAACCCAATCCTCAACTCTAATTGAACAAAAATTATTATCCAATTTGTCAGGTTTCGCTTATGCAGCCAGCGTTAACCGATCAAAGCGTGATATCCATGATGACATGGAAAGTAAGTTCAATTTATATTAATATATATTGATGAGAAGGCAATTTTCAGATACTAAAAATTCTGGTTTACTACAGGAATTATCAAAGATATAAAAAAGAAAGGTATTGACCATGTTGGTGATGACATCAAAAAATTTGCTCATACCTTCAAGGGTAAGTAATAACAATTAGTTATCATAAAAGGTGTTTACTAACTTTTGGATTAATCAACAGATCAAATAAAGTCATGGCATTGTCCAAATATCTTTGATATACTTAATGCATTGGCTAGTAAAAAAGGTGCTAAAATTGCTAAAGTCCTGTTCGAAACTGCTGTTTGTAAAGCATTGCATTTGCATTAACCTGTTGTTTCAACCTTAAGATTCATTTGCGATTCACCCAAATTTGTGACTAAAGACTAATATATTATATTATAATATTTAAAATATTATCTTTAAATTCTTGACCGATCTGTTTGAAATGTTTATCCTTAAAATTCTATGAATAAAATAAATAATTGAATAAACGAGCGGACATAACTGATCAAAATTATTTTTACTGATGAGTGTGAGTACTTCAAATCTATTCAACATTGTAAAGACTCGAATTATTGATGCAAAACCGTTGAAATGACAAACCATGCAAATAAACTTACATCAGAACAAAAATACAATCGAAGTTTGAAGGCGTTTCATTAAAATTGTCGATCAAAGAAATTTTTAACTTCACAAGTTGGACGTTCTTAAAGTTCTACCAGAGCTCGACTCTTTTAAAATGCTTTAGAATATGGATTTGTTTTTTCCTCCCCCCTGTTTTCCTCATTCTCCAAAGACCTGAATTCTTGATGAAAAAACCATCGTCAGAATAAGAAATGCAAAAATTGAAATCTGCCTTTTGTCAAATCGAAATTAACCGATCTATTGTATGGATTAGGATTTAATATAAAAATGTATGTTGATGCCATCTATTAGTTATCCATCATTTACAGTTGCAATACTCGCTAATTGTTTCTAATCATCTAATTTATTTGATATTCATTTTCATTTAATTGATTGAATTTAACCTTTTGTTCTTTTCTCATTAAGTTTCTTGAACTTAGCCATTCCTGACTCAATCTCTGATCTCAAGTATTTGATGGGCCTCTGTGGATAAAAGTAAGAAAAAAAATTATAATAGTAAGGAGTAATGGAACAAGTAAATATAAATTGATACACTTGAACTGGCCATGAATAGGCAGAATTTATCAAAATTGTATCGTTCGATAGCTTGTGCGAATCATGTCACATAATTTTGGTTCATACCTGATAAACGTGATGAACACAAAATGAAAGACAATTGACTTGTTTATTCTATCATGATTGAATCTTTCTGTTTATTCAGTAATAATCAAAAGGGTATCAATTTAATCGGAAAGTCAGAGCTTGTTTGAATAAAAAATAAATTTCGAAGGACGAAGTAAGAATAGAGTAAATTGCTTGTAATTTTTTCTCCAGTTAACAGGTTGGATGTAATGATTTATTTTTAATTCATTAATCTAATCCATTTTTCGACACATTGTTTCCTTCTCGAGATAAGCATATCTGTGAGAATGTATCTGGAAATAGATTGAAATGCATGGGGTCGTGTGTATCGATTTAATGATTAAATCTAACATTACAAAGTAAAAGGTGACATTGAAGTTTAAAAATCTGATACAATTATCTATTAGCGCCACTCCTCACAACTGGCCAATGTTCGATAAATCATGTTTTTCGCCGATGATAAAAAATCATTGTTACTCTAATTTGATTGTTCGATATAAATAGTAACATGATAGTAAATCTGATCAAGATTATGAAAAATTCACAGAAAAAAAGCTATCGACATAAGTACGACTAAACCGAATGAGATAGAGAAGAGTGACAATTTTATTAGGTGATGAAAGGTATTAAAAAAGCTATTCCATAAGAGCAATATTTAACGAGTACAATTTCAAGTTTGTTTGCTACATAATTATCATTACATTTCAATTTTCCTCTAAAATGTATCTGAAAACCCATATTTTTATTCTTTTATCGATCTTTATGGTCAGCCTAACCACGCCTTCTACTGGTTCTGGTTCTGATGGTAATCAAAATTGTGTAAATTGTGTAAATTGTACTAATTGTATTAACTGTACCAACTGTACAAATTGCCATGGTTGTCAAAATTGTGAAGACTGTACAAATGGTATAAGTTTACGATATTGTAAAAACAGTAGAGATTGTAACAGATGTGACGTTTGTACATGTTGTTTTAACTGTACAGACTGTGTATATTGTACAAATTGTAGGAATTGTTCAAATAGTTCAAATTGTATCGATTCTACCGATGGCTCATATTTACGGTACTGTAAAACCTGTAAAGATTGTAAAAGATGTGACAATTGTAACAACTGTCTAAGATGTAAAGATTGTATTTATTGCACAGATTGTGTATATTGTTCAGATTCTTCGAACTGTGAGGATTGTACCAACGGTTCATATTTACAAAATTGTAAAACTTGTACAGATTGTAAACGATGTTCCGGTTGTAAAGATTGTCTAAGATGTTCAAATTGTGCCAACTGTGAAAATTGCGTAGATGCTGCAAATTGTAACAATCGTACAGATTGTACAAATTGTCAATGTTGAATTTCGATATCGACACAAATTAATGAATCCTTAAAAGGTTTGTATTAATTTAAAAGCAGTTTCTGGTAATAAAATAAAACGATTCCAATTTTTACTTCATAACCGGCTGTTTTTATTGCTTGATTTCGTACTTTTAAAGATAACGAATTATCAGTTTAGTCTTTAGATATTATTCTTTGCAACTTTCCCATCGAGCCATTACAAGCTATTTCAAAACTATTTTCGGAAATAAAGGGAGGACGATCAGTAATTGCAGAAACAGATTTTGTCCTGAGTCAGGTAGAGATGGCATGAGAAGTAAATGAGGTAACTAGAACCAAATATTAGGAACCATTTCTCTGATACGAAAGAATCTCCACAGTTTTCAATAACTAAACTTGCTTTATCGATTGAAAATATTCTCTCTCACGAGATTATCGTAGAACTTGAATGTACATGGTTTTCCCTTCAAATATATCAAATCTTATAAACTTGATCATTTGATTTTCTTTATTTAACCTTATTACTGCCATTTCCAAAGCTAAACCCAAAATTACTTTAGTAGTATAGAAGCAGCTCACTTTGGCCCATTTCTCTAGCACAGCATATTAAGGAGAAAGAGAAAGAGAAAGAGAAAAAAGAAAAAAGAAAAAAGAAAGAGAAGAGGAAAGACAATGAAGTGGGCTAGAGATTGCGTTGATCTTAAGTGTGCTAGAGGTAGCTAATATTTTAAATATGCAGAGGTTAGGTTTGGTATCAAACGTATTATGCGCTAACAATTAGTGAAAGCTATCAGCAAAAAACAAAGGAACTGCTTACAGTTGAACTAAACTTTCGGAAATAAAGATTTTTTCATAAAACTCATTTTACTGATGTATCTTATGATGGACAACCAGGAAATGCACTCAAAGAAGTGCGAAATGAAATTTTCAGTTTTCTGTAAAACAGATCAAGGTCAATTTTTAGTTAAACCTTTTGCATTCTGAGGCCGATAAAGTTAGAAAGCTAAAACTTATCATTTTTCAATAAAAACTGTTAGTGCAAATCAATGACCGAACACTTTTCAGTTTATTCCTCTATTCCTACCTCGTGAACTAACGGACAGTCAGCGTCAACTTCGAGATGTTTCGTGTCGTGCTAACCGAAGATGTAGATCCCAGACCAAAAGCATACTCCAGTGGACCCTGACCATCGACGAAACTTGGGTTAAACTTTATATGAAGCCAAGCGCGCTATGGGGATAAGCGGCTATGCTAATCATGGCAATGGATTTCGATGGCATTGCTTTTTGGCGCCTTTTGCCCCAAAAACTACAGTTGACTCTTATATAAAAAAAATTTTTAAGAACTTTTGGATAATTGGCTTGGTGAAAAAAGAAGCTCTAGTGTGTGTCTTTTACACGAAAACGTTCAACCTCACAAATCACAACTAGTCGAGAGCTTTTTAGTAGAAAAGGGTATCACCCTTTGGGAGCACCCCCCTTATTCGCCTGATCTGAGCCCGATTATGAGTAGTCATATAAAGTCCTCTTTTGGCACGACTTGGTTTTTCTGGAACAGTCCGCTTCTGAACCAATGACACCGTATGACGATGTTAGTTTTTACAAAGAATAAATGAAACTTTTTTTAATGAAAATAAATAAGCTTTTAATGAAAAAATGAAAAAAATGAAAATGAAATTTATACAAACTTAGAGGCCTCGGCTTGTGTCTCTAAGCTCGATTATTCGTACTCGAGACTCGACCCAACGAGTATATCTCGCCTGAAATACTTCAGGAGGGAAACCAAAGGCGGCTTCACAGCGCAAATCAATGTAAGTTATGAACTGGTTCTTTTCGGCCAATTCATTCCTCACCTCCTCGACCTCAGCTCTCAGCTCCTTTGGATTGATCTTTGGGTGTCCAAAGCAACTATTTCTTTCAAAGCTTATGAGTCAAGCTATTATTACGAAGTCCTAAAGTTTGTCAGTATAATGAAACATATGTATTTGAATTTAACAAAGTATTGAAGTTAAAATTTAGTGAAAAATAGTAAGAGCGGATAAAAATGGTCCACTATAAATGTTTATCTCCAAAAAATAAAGAATTTTCGATTAAATACTGTTAAATTTAAATAAATATGGGCCACTTTATTGATAAGCTTTAAGGTCCATACCTTAGTAAATACAATGTAATATGTGCTTATTAATCTATTTCTTTACCTATAATAATTAATCAAAATTAGCGATCGAATCATGAAGCAAATTCTTTTGAAACCGAATTTCATAAGAACTTATCAATTTTAGGAAAGAATGCAAAACCGATTGTTTAGACCAATTCGTTGTTTCTAGATAACTTGATATCTTGGATACTTTGTGATACGTGTATAAATGCATATAAAAAGAGGTAAATCAATGGTTTTTAATACTTTATTTTCATTTGCAACTTGCGAATCAGTTAAAGTTTTGACTCAGTTCAGTTCAATTCCAACCTAAAAAATGCGATTCTTAATAATCTTGTCTCTCGTTTTATGCATTGGTAAGTTAATACATTTGTATAACCTAATTAACCTAATCCTCAGCTCTGATTGAACAAAAATTATTATCCAATTTGTCAGGTTTCGCTTATGCAGCCAGCGTTAACCGATCAAAGCGTGATATCCATGATGACATGGAAAGTAAGTTCAATTTATATTAATATATGAAGAGGCAACCTTTCAGATTCTAACAATTCTGGTTTACTTCAGAAATCATCAAAGATATAAAAAAGAAAGGTATTGACCATGTTGGTGGCGACATCAAAAAATTTGCTCATACCTTCAAGGGTAAGTACACCGTGATTCATAATCACCTGACGGCCCTTGATTGTTAATAACTTTAATCTGTATTAAGACTATTATTTTTTATTTTTATTATTATTTATGTTATTTTACATCATTAATTAACTTAGAGTAGATCCAATCGATCCAATTTCGCGTTTAATTGAGTTAAAATTCAGAAAAATCAAAATATGGGAATTTTTGTTTTAAACAACTTTTGACCCGATTTTCTCCTCTATTTATGAGCAGAATTTTCTGATTTTCAGTTAAATTGTAGAGTAACTATTCATCAGTCAGAATTAGCATCAATCGTTTTTCAAATTCTTTGTTAAAAAACTACAAAAATATCTTTTGAGACTGTAAAATGAGCAATTGTCAACTTTCAAAAACGACTCTGAAACATCATTGTTTCGAAAGGTAATCATTTCGAGCATATTGTCATTTAACAAGCAATCTTTGAACTACAATTAGGCACCGATTCGATCTTTATATGTTAACTAATAAAAAAGTTATTAGCAATTAAGCGCCGTCAGGTGATTGTGAATCACGGGGTAATAACAATTAGCTATCATAAAAGGTGTTTGCTAACTTTTGGATTACTCAACAGATCAAATAAAGTCATGGCATTGTCCAAACGTCTTTGAAATAATTAAAGCAATGGCTAGCAAAAAACGTGATAGAATTGCTAAAGTCTTGTTCGAAGCTGCTGTTTGTAAAGCAGTGAAATTTGCTTAACCTTTTCTGCTCAACCTTAAGATTCACCCAACTAAAGACTAATATATTATTCAAAATATATTTCAATTCTTGTGCAACCCATTTGAAAAGTTTATCCTTAAAATTCCATGAATAAAATCAAGATAATTGAATAAACAAGCGGACTCACGATCATAAATGATCCAAATTATTTTTGCGAACAAGATGTGGGTACAATAAATCTAATCAACATTTGAAAGATTATTTATTGAAAAAAACCGTTAAAAGACAAAACATTTAAACAACGTGAACTTGATCTGCAACAGAATAAAAACAATATTGAACATTATTTTGCGGCAAAAATGACGGATCTTAAAGTTCTTTTAACTGCGTAAGATACAATCAATCTATTATATATCAAGAAACCCTGAATTAAAGGGTTCCTAAGAATGAATGTTAATGAACATAAAATGAATTTTTTTAGCAAAATTGATTACTTAATCCATTTTTTGAAATTGCAATCTTTTTTAGACATTGCATACAACATTTTTAGAAGTTTTCAAAAATTTCGAGCCAATACTTTTTATTTTATTAATTCCAGAACGACTAACTACTTTTTTCGACAATTTCGCCCAACTTTTTTTAGAATCAGAGATATTCGATGCTAGATTTTTTACTTCGACCTTTTCAGCGCAACACAACACTCAGAACCTCTCAATAGAACGAGCCTTGCGCAAATTTTGACATTTTTCATCTTTTCTTACTAATTCGAGGCCATTTTCCGCAACCAGTAAAAATAAAGTAAAAATTAGCTTTGAGTAATGCACTATTTTTCCCATAGGTGAAATTCCTCTTTTTGAGAGTGAATCGCGTTTGGCCTTATTTAGCATGTTTACTTCACGAAATTAAGTCTAATTTTGGTATTTAATTAAACAGCAGAGTGCAGTCTTTCATTTTATAACTTTGTTTTTTTAATATCCTTGTTAAAAACCGTTAATTTTTGCATTTGAATCTATTAACACTTATTCTTAGGAACCCTTTATTGATTACAAAACTATTATTAGAATGAGAAATCAAACAATTTAATCTTTAGCTTTTGTAAAATAAGATTCATTTTGGAATGTTGAAACGTTTCTTTAAGCAACATTAAAATTTTCGTTCGAGCTAGGTTGGATGATTGTACGGGCATAAAATTGAATCCATTCGAACAAAAATGCTATTAGAAAAGGCCTCTCTGCATTTTTCTCTCAACCTCTATTCCATAAATCTCTCATGAATTTGAATTCTGAGGTGCGGTTTTCGATTTTTGGTGCATGGGGTTTGGTCAAAATTTCGAAACAAACATATTTAATATGTAATCTATAATTTACATCTGAAACAGTCGTTAATTATTTCCAATCGTCTAATTTATTTGATAATAATTTGCATTCAATTGATTGAATTTGCACACGCATTTTTTAGTGATCTATTTTCATTAACTTTCTTATTAACTTTGCCATTCTTGACTCAATTTCTGGCCTGAAGTGTCTTATGAAACCTGTAAGAAAAACAAATTTAGCACCGAATAATAAGCCAAACATGATTCAATATAAATTGATGTACCTGAACTGGCCATGCAAAGGCTTGCATAGGCAGAATTTATCAAAATTGTATTCTTCGAAACATGTCACCTAATTTTGGTTCATACCTGATAAACGTGATAACTGTTTACACAAAATGAAAGACAATTGACTTGTTTTATTCTATCATGATTGAATCTTTCTGTTTATTCAGTAATAATCGAAGTAATCAAAAGATTTAATCATTTAATCAGTAAAGTCAGAGTTAATTTGAACAACATAATACATATTCGAAGGTTGAAGTATTAGGAATAATAGAGGAGAATCGAATGAATTGTCAATTTTTCTGTAGTTAACAGGTTGGATGTAATAATTTATTTTTAATTCATTAATCTAATCCATTTTCGAAATATTATTTGCTTCTCGAGATAAGCATGAGAATGTATCTGGAAATGCATGGGGTCGTGTGTATCGATTTAATGATTAGATCTAACATGACAAAGTAAATTTAAGGTGACATTGAAGTTTGAAAATCTGATACAATGATCTATTTTCATCTGCCACTCCTCAAAACTGGCCAATTTCTCGATAAGTCATCACACAGATACAACTTTACTGTTTCTCTAAAAATTGTGACGCACACAAATTCATCTTTGTTACTATGGAACAATATAATCAATATTATACATGATTATTCATAAAAGAACATTTCTCGATTTTTTCTTGGGTCGTCTGGGTTAAGTACTGTAGGATGCGACTTGAAAGGTGCCTAAAACCCAACTGAATCACATAAAAGCTGAATGATAAGACTTGCAAAGAACTTATTACACGCTTAAGCCAAACTAATGACTGAATCAGCTTTAAACATTTAAAAATTAATGCTTTCTGTTGATTGATCAATGTTTTTCTATCAATTATCATCTATTTATCAGAAAGATGGTTAAAAAGGGAAGTGAGTATGTTAATTTGCCTTTCTGATAATAATTTGATGTTTGATATTAATTAATTAATCTCATCAAATCTGATCAAGATTATAAGTTATGAATTCACAGAAAAGGCTAAAATACGTATGAATTTGAGAGGGAGAAGAGTGACGATATTCAATGGAAATGAAGAGTATAAAAGCTATTCCATAACTGCAACACTTTACGAGTTTAATTTCAAATCTGTTTGCTATATTACATTTCAATTTCCTCTAAAATGTATCTCAAAACCCATATTTTTATTCTGGTTTCGGTCTTTATGGTCAGCCTAATCACACCTTCTACTGGTTCTGATGGTAATCAAAATTGTATCAACTGTGTTGGCTGTACAAATTGTGCAAACTGCATAAATTGTACGAATTGCCATAATTGTGCCAATTGTAACGATTGTACGAACTGTAAAGATTGTAGGAACTGTGACAATTGCAGAGACTGTCAAAGATGTGCCGATTGTACAAAATGTCAAGGCTGTGACGATACAGTAGGTAGTAAAAAATGTAGAGATTGTTCTGACTGTTCAAATTGTCGAGATTGTATCAATTGTTCAAGATGTAGAAACTGTGAAAGTTGTACCGATTGTCAAAGATGTGCCAACTGTGCCAATTGTCTGAGATGTTCAGATTGTAGAGATTGTACCCGATGTACAGATAGTCAAAGATGTGCTGATCGTACAGATTGTAAAAATTGTCAATGTTGAATTCCGGTATCGATAAAAACCCTGTTTGAACCCTAAAAAGGTTTGTAATTTAAAAACAGTTCCTGGTGCGACCAGAGAAATGACAACTCTTCTTATGTGCTTTTCTCTCATCTTCCAGTTATGGAATTGCCAGTTCAACAAATGTGCAAGGCGAGGAAGTTGAAAAGCTTTACACATTGGCCGATGTTATGTTAATCAATGTCTCCTAGTCCTTTGACCCTTTCGATTGATATTGGATGATCCATATTTTTATTTACCGTATGTTAATCAACCATCCCTTTTGAAAAACAGTTTTTTAGATTTACTTTCATTTTTTAAACCAAATCTTTGTTATTCCACTTTCTAAAAATGATATTATTTAATATTTAATGCTAATTATAATCAAAACCTTCAATGTATTCTTATCTCGCCAACGATAGAGTAAAAAATAAAACGATTCTTTAGTAACCGACTATCATTTTAAGTTATGTTATTTTGTCTAATATTTTCAATTTATCAATATCATCTCATTTAGGACAAAATTTGGTTTTTCTGGGAAAATTAAAAAGGCTCAGCTGGGAAAGGAGGCTTCAGTCTTGGTTTGCTTTGTTTCCTTCAATTTACCTGATCTTTTTGATTCCGTCAATCATTCAATGATACCTTTTGAGGATTTATGGTGCTGCATTAGCATTTGTTGATAAACATGGAGCTAATTTATTTTGCGTACATGTTTACAAAAATTTAGTCAGTTCACTTTTAACTAATAATTTAGATTAATTGAAAGATGTATTTTCACCAAAGGAGTCAAAGTAATGCGAAGCTAATTATATAGTAAAACCAGGCCAATATCGAGAGATAATCACAGAGCTTAAATTGATTGCTGATGTTGCTTAGATTTACATTAAATTCAACTAATAGCTAACAATGTTGCTGATGTCGAAAATTGTCATTTCCATTGTTCTGGATATTATTTAGTATCCGAGATGAACAGATTGCTATTTAAAATGAGTCTAGAAAAAACCATTGTAATGTGTAAGGTCGTTTGTACTGATTTAAGTGATTGACATCATAGTGTTAAAGTGAATTTAAGGTGACATTGAAGCTGGCAAATCTGGTGGCATAATATACTTCCATCTGCCACTTTTATCTCATGTTTTTCGGAGATGCTGTAAAATTTGTTTGTTATCCAAACAACGAATTAATTGATCCATTGCTTTTAATCAACCAATGGTCATCTATTGAAAAAATCATCTGAAAAGAGTGATGGATATGAGAATGTTAAAATTTGCCAAAATTGCAACGAATGCACGGATTGTAATCATTGTCAATGTTGAACTCCGCTATGGATACAAATTGTTGGACCCTAAAGAGATTTGTAATTTAAAAGCAACAGAAAGTTCCTGGTGCGAATGAAAACTCTTCTTCTCATTTGCCAGATATGGAATTGCTTCTGAAGCAAACATGTTAAAAGTAAAATTGCATTCTGAATTCATTGATAAGCTCAAAATAAGTTGATAAATGCAGTTCTAAATAAATTTTCGCATCCGAGATCAATGTATTGCATCGAAAATTTATCTGGTGTTTACCGATTTAAGTGATTGAAGCCTTCATGATAGAGTGAATTTAAGGCGTAATTTGAGCTGGAAAATCTGATGAGATGATTTATTTTCATATGCCACTCATCAAAAAACTAGTCAATTTTGCGATAAATCATGCTTTTCGCAGATGAAACAAAATTTCATTGTTATTCAAACAAACAAATTGATTATCAACTAGCAACCGATGTTCATCTATTTGCGAAAATCGTCTAGCAAGTGAGGTAAACGTCATTATATTAATTTGCTTTTCTCTGATCATAACATGTTCGATGCGATATTAGTTCTTGAATCAAGATTATGAAAAAAAGCTGACAAGGCTAACGAAATAATTATGAAGTAGTAAACAGAATGAGAGGGAGAA